CTTTCCTCCCCCAACCCAAAACGCTAAGGGTTCTTTATAAGTAGCACCTTACTTTACTACACACAACTAACTACTTATTTTCTTATAGTATGCCTGATTTTGTGTGCGTACCAACACTTTACGTTTTGTTTATCCCATTATTCGCTTCTCCCCCCTTCCGCCCTCCATTTTGTTGTTTCCTTGCTAGACTTCTCTGACAGTGTCTCCGGCGCGCCCTTTCCCGGTCTCTGAGCAAATCGGCGGACAGAATGGACAGAGCCCGCCGCTCACGCTTGAGGAGGCGATAGCTCTGGAGACGCGACAGCGTCCATTGGCTCTGCGCCTCGAATGTCGCCTCCGGCTCTACTTGGCAGCTCCCGGCGTCTCCTTTGAGGTTCCTGGTCATCTTCAGTCGGCACGGCGAAAGGACCCGCAGCTCATCTTTGACTCCTCCCTTGACTTCCCCGCCCTCGCCTCGCCTTCTGCGAATGCCTTCACCGCTCTTCGGAGCTTCGTGTCGGAGTCAGCAGAACAGGAATCTCGTAAGTTCTGTGTTTTTCCGGTCTGCGCGCTTTCTTTAAATCACCCAAGCTCTTCTAAAGCGGAAGCATGGGCTTTTATGAGACCACTGTGGGTTATACAGTGATATGGGTTTCGGCAATGTCCTCAGCGTGTGCATTCAGTTTGCTGATGTACCAGCGACTGCTTTTTCTGCAGAGGTTTGCGTGCTTTATCGAACCTGTGACCCTCGATGACCTTGTCACAGAAGAATCCTCCAAATCACAAGTCAGGCAAAGCAGTGTTAGTGGAGAAAGCTTTACTGTCGGAAAATGAGCGGTACAAAGGTTGTTTTTACGAGCCAGCTGTATCTGCCCGCCCGTTGTATCCGTTAAGTTGTGTCTGCTGCTATGAAGTTCTGACTGTGGAGTGTCTACAGCCAATTAGGTGGTACGGTGTGTATCGACTGGTTCGAAGTAACATGCGCCTCGGGAAGCGAGGGAGCGTGAGACGGCCAGGACATCGCGGGCCTCTCGCAGCGATTGACAAGGAAGGTGCGGGCACACAAAGGTGGCTTGCGAAGAGAGGATTATTCAACACAGCGGTACCTAGTGCAGGCTCCCACAACCTTAGAAGCAAGTTGTCTGCTGGTCTCGCACAGGCGTCGTAATTCGTGTCCGGTCGTGCTGTATATCATTAGGCGATTGACAGTAATTTGATGTCCTAAACCTAACACTAATTCTCCTGGAATTTTGGGCACAACCGTCTTAATTTCGATTGGTTCCTGTTCTCGTGTTCTGCTAAGGGAAGCGGGGCATGGGAGCAACCGACACCGAAATGGCCATCCTAGACCCTTTTGTCTTCTTCAATAACCTCTATAGGTATAAAGCATTGGTCGCTACGCGACTACCTTCCGGGCCTCGAGTTTGAGGCCCCAACCACAACGGAAGGAATTGGTCCCATAGCCCGATCGTTGAAGGGATTGACAAATGAAGCTGGGATGGCC